TTTCCTCATCTCCTACTTGCCAGGATAGTCACTAGTAGACAAATCAACTGTCACTCCTGAATTATTTCAGGTTTATTTGTTTCTCTTCTCAGTTGTACTGTCATCTCCTTATGGAGAGAAAGTAGTTACTAGGCATCAGTTATGGCCTCCACAGTACCTAGCAATGCTCAGTCATGTTCTCTTGGTTACTTCTGGCCATTCATCACCAAGAATTTGCCTCTTGATCCTACGATATTCGACTCTATGACACTAAGATCCTATAGACACTATAAAATTCTCTGAGAATGTGATATTTGACACTCTGCTGACATATTACCTAATAGAGAAGTTTAATCAGATAAGCTAGTGAGGCTACCTTGTGAAATACTTTTAAAATTATTTTGAGAAATCGAATTTTAAAATTAGCTGGAAAAATCCCCCCTGGGGTCTGAATTATCCCTACTACTCTTTTAGAAATTTAAAACAAATTCTCAATACCCCCTTCAATAAAACTATTTACCCTGTAAATTTGGGTCATTTTTAATTAAAAAATGTTGAATTTAATTACGCGTTCATTTAAATATCATGAATATGTCATTTATAATGATAAAGCAAATATTCGTTTTGCATATTAAGCAATTTCTTGCGCGAAAAGCAACCACACGGAGAAGAGCCAGCAGACTGGAGGAGCCTCATCTATTAAACCTCCAACTTCTTAGGTAGATTTCTAATTTTGCTACTTGTGACACATTGTATTTTACAGGGAAAAAATAATAATAAATAAATAAATAAATAAATAAATAAAATAATAATCATTTCCACATATATTGTGTTTGGTCCCCTGACCTGCATTCCTCTTCTCCCAGATTTGTGAGCACTAACTCATTCACACTTTTGCATTTGTGGAAAGTTTACTTGACGACCCGCGCCTTACAAAGCGATTCTATTGGTAGAGCATCTTTAGGAGTTCTGTGCAGAGATATTTTTTAAATGATTCTCATGATAAAAACGGCTTATTAGCTGAGTCACCTGGGAAAATTATTTATCCCTTTTGAGCATCCTTCTCCTATCTGAACTGGGGGTAATATTTTCCATCCTTCAGAGCCGTTCCGATGAGATAATAGTAAACACCACCTCTCACAGCGTGCCTGGCACTTCGTAGGTAATTAATAAATTAAAGCGAGTATAAACACCATATCGATGACATTTTATAATTTAGAAAGGGTCTGTTTTTCACTCTTGTTTACTCCGGTCCTTACTGTAAAGGACTCCGCTCCCCGGAATCCATCCACAAGCAGCAGAGGTCCTGCAGGCAGTCCTCTAAATTAGTCAAGAGGTTCTTATAAGAGTTTTTTCATTGTTTTTCTTTTTTTTGAGGAAGATTAGCCCTGAGCTAACTGCTGCCGATCCTCCTCTTTTTGCTGAGGAAGACGGGCCCTGAGCTAACATCCGTGCCCACCTTCCTCTACTTTATATGTGGGACGCCTGCCACAGCATGGTGTGCCAAGCGGTGCCATGTCTGCACCCAGGATCTGAACCGGCGAACCCCGGGCCGCCAAAGCAGAATGCGCAAACTTAACTGCTGCGCCACCGGGCCAGACCTGTTGATTATGAGTTTTTAATTCTACTTTTTACATATTACCATCCAATAACACTTGCAAGGGCAAACTAATCATTATCTTTCTATACTAACTTTCATATCATAAAACAATGAAAAGTTTGGCTTTGGGGGCTGGTTCTTGGGCAAGGAGGGATCAGAGAGCCAGGAAAAGAATCCTAGTGCTCTCTTTAAAAGATATTATTCTAATATATCGAAAAAACACAGGAGTTTGACTCTCTGTAGATGAGATCTTCACTCAACATCCTTGGAACATGCCCTCACTTTACTGCAATCTAAGCAAATTTGAAAGCTCCAAGCTCATTGTTACGAACCAGATCTGTTGTGACTGCTTTCAAACCAAAAATAGTTTAAAGAATGAAAGAATCAGAGATTTAGTCATCTCAAAGTAATTGTTCTATATGTCATAATTTAGAAAAATACAAATCATAACTTATGGCCAACAATTTAGAGTTCATTTAATATCAGAAAATCAAACTTTTGCTTTTCCAACAATTATAATTTTTTTTTTCTGCTTTATTTCCCAACCCCCTCCACCCCCGATACATAGTTGTATATCTTAGTTGCAGGTCCTCCTAGTTGTGGGATGTGGGACACTGCCTCAACGTGGCCTGACGAGCGGTGCCATGTCCGCGCCCAGGATCCGAACCCTGGGCAGCCGCAGCAGAACGCACGAACTTAACCACTCGGCCACGGAGCCGGCCCCCCAACAATTATCATTTTTAAGAGCACTAAAATTCTTATTAATAAATTCGTTAGCAAGTAATAATAATGTATTTTGACATAACCCCAAACACAAAATTTGCTATGGTTCCATTTTTGGATGTGTTTCAACAAAATAGGCAGAATCAGAATTACGTGGAAATTTTTTTAAACTACGATGGGCAGGCCTTAGCCCAGAGCTCCTGAATCAGAATCTGGGATTGGGAGGCGGGTGTAGAGGGTAGCTGCCAGAAACCTTTGTTTATTTAACTTTCCCAGGATTCTATTGATAAACCTGGTTTCAGACCTATTGCTAGGTCACTTGGTTGACCAGATGACACTAAAAGGACAATAATCAAGCAGCAGTTACGGCAAAGGAAAAGGCCCGATGTTGGAGGATGTTTAGGCTGCATCCTGCTCAACAGCGCTCAGCAGGGTGATCCCCATCAGATGTCTTTGTAGAACTTGGACTGACAGAGTGTCTTCTTGTCCCTCTTATGTTTTCACCCCTGTAAATTTCACCTACGTCCCTTCTGATCAACATTTTAGAAAAATGTTTATTTAGAAAAATTAAAAAATCATTTTTTCCGGGCAAATAATTCAAGCAATTAAAGCTAAAGATAAATATATTTAAATCTGTCCAGGCCGAACAGTGAGGATTAATGAAGAGTGGACTACAAATAAGAAAATGTTTTAGGCCCTTCTTTCAGATTATAAGTCTTAAAAGTGTGTTTAAGAAATTTAACTCCTGGTTAATTCTAGAGCATATTATCATAAACTAGTATCTTCTAATTATAGTGAAAAAATACTCTAAGCCCAGGAAAATGTCATGTCTATGATCTTTTCTTGGTTCCTCCAATGAGTGGCTACCTCTCTCACAACTGTGTAATAAAAAATACTTAGTTTAAAAGAATAACCCAGTTACGTAAGTCCAGATTATTACTTGGAAGGAAAATTATATAAAAGTTTTGAGTGACAAATTTATAAAGCACAAATTAGTTCTGTTCCTATATTTAAAATACATGTGCTCAGGCTCCTATCAAAAAAAAAAAGATACACCTAAGACTTTAAAATTCCACATCATAACATTCAGTTCATGCTTTCTCATCCACATGCTTTCCTACTTTTGTTTAAAATGCAGCTTTGCTTTTCAGTATTCAGGATTTTTCTGTTTTCGTGTGTTTGGGTTATGTTAGTTCTGATGTTAGCTCAGCCTGTCCTTTACCCAAGGCGTATCAGAACCAGCCAAGACCAGGCTCTAGATACTCCCCACTCATAGGACTGTTGGCGCTCCCCTGACAAACGCAATTCAGCTTTCCCGCAATCAAGGGGTTGGGGCTGATCCTGTCCAGAAACGTGCAATTCAGAGATCCTGTCTGCAACTTCCCTGCTCTTTCGCACTCCTAAGGTCAGGGGAAGAAGGCCCCTGGAGGCAGCCCTTCCCATCACAGGAGAGCGTCAGTGGTTCAGGAGTTTTTCCTTGTGTCCAGACTAGCTGTGTCAGGCTGAACAGATCACAGCATCTCTGAGTCCGAGTTTCACCAAATATGAAGAAGGAGGGATGATTTCACAGGTCATACAAATCACAGAATCCTCCCGAATTACTTAAATGGCAGTCACTGGAATAAAATGTTTGCCTGAACTCTCTTGGGGTCTGAAGGATCTTATCTAACCAGTGAAGTCTATGTTTACAAGGCAGAAGCAAGAATTTTTTAACACTGTGCAATAAGGAATTTTCAAAGCTACTGAGCACTGGCTCTGCACCCTATTCCCTGAGGCACAATCCTGGCCACTCACTCACTCCTTAACCCCCTGCTGACCAGTGTCTGCCACTGGGAGCCTGGCTTGGCACTTATCCATTTGTCACCAAGTGTCCACCATTCCCCCCAAAACAACACTGCCAAAGGCAGCCTTCCCTTCTCATCTATTTCTCTGGAGTATTTGTGAGTGTTGCCCACCTCCATTTTTTAAAAATTCTCATCTCTCTTTGCGCCAGTGACAAGACATCCCTGATGCTCCTTTGCCATTTTCTGACCACTCTTTCTTCTCATTCTTTGGCTCCTCCTCCACACCCACTGTTAAAAAACAACCATTCTTTGACTCTCTTCTCTTTGCCAGGAAGAATCTAGAACCCGAGCTCTCCTATCCGTGTCACTGATTCACTGTGTGGCCTTAGACAACCCACAACCCTCTCTGGTCTTCCTTTGTCCCTGAGAAAGGGCAGGACCTGGATTTGATGATCCAAAACATCCCTTTGAGCTATGCAGGGATAGCTGGTCCAGCCTACTCTCAGTCCTGTATTCCATCAGCATGTGGTACAGTTTCAGAAGCCAGCGCAAGTCTGTGATGGAGCTGAGACTCTGGGAAATCATCCCTTCCAGTGTGGGAAGGAAGTTGAACACCACCTCGTCTGACACTCTCACTTTATAGCTGAGGAAATCTAGGTCCAGCGTGGGCACTCAACTACCTCATAGCAGACATGGGACTAAGAAAGAGGTCTCCTGGGCTCTCAAGTGTTGCCAAATCGGAGCTTATGTGTCTTCCGAGCCTGGCTGAAGTGCATCATGGTATCAGAGTAAAACGTGTAAAACACTTTAAAGCCTTTTCTCCCCTTAAAAAATAACAAATTCTGACTGTAACTCAAAGAACTCTGGAGACAGATTTGCTATAGAGGGTACTTTACACAAAGGAGAACAATCTAATCACACAAAACATCTCAGATTTATGTTTTTAAACAGTCAAAACAGAACATCAAGTCACAGAATACATATATTTACATTAATTCAAATGTCTAAAGCACAATACAGTGAGATCTGCTTAATAGTTCATATAAGATTTACATACACACAAGCATATAAACAAAGATTAGTCTGCTAGGACAAAGGTTTAAGAAGTTACTCAGACATTTTGGTCTTGACACCTACATATTTATGGCAAATAATGATGACTTGGGACTTTTCAGCAAGAGCTTTTGTACAAGGATAGAAAATGCGCAGAATGGAAAGAAGACAGTCACAAATGTACCTTTATTGCACTATTTCTCTTACACCAGATGGGACACGGCATTACCCAGTAAATTTTATCAGCGTAGTCTGTTTACTCTGGTCTAAAATGATGAAATTAGCTGAATTATTCCCAAATCTAACTTTATTTGGTGCTTTACAAATAACTGCTGCTTGGTTCTTCCTTGTACATCTTTTAAAAGTAAAATAGGACACGAACGCTTTTCTTTAAAATAACTCAACTTTGGTCCTAATAAGTTAGTAAAGTCTCTTTTTAAAGAACACTAATACATGAAATTTATTTTTCCAGAATCCTGAATTTTTAAAGAACACTAATAATACATGAAATTTACTTTTTCTTTCAAGAATCCTGAATGAAAGGACACTGTCAGTCATATCAATCATCTCCGGGCCGGCTTTGAAATTGCCAGTGGTGCTAAAGACTAAGATAGTGTTATCTAGACCTTAAACTTGAGAAAACAACCTCATCTTTCTCTGGCATCCTGAGGAACCCAAGTGTTTTATCACATTTCCCATGAACCATTTAAAGAGACCCTTTGATTGTCTTTTTTTTCCCCTGCAATTTCTCCCCAAATCCCCCAAGTACATAGTTGTCTATTTTAGTATATTTGGTTGTCTTTTAAAAAACAAAACACCATTTCTGTCCTGCTGTTTATTTTGCAGACCACACACAAAGTTAAATATGGAGAGACTGAATTACTACACGGTACAAATACAGGCACAAAATTAAGTGGACGCCACAAAGGGTGTGTCTGAAAACACAGAATTGACGGAATCTGAGTCGGATTTCACCCTTGTGGACTTTAAGATGCCCTCAGCTATAACCGTTTCACTGGCAAAAAGCCTGACTTTCCCATTCTGCCCCGCCGCGGTATCCTTCAGCGGTTCCAAAAACACCACTCTTTTACCAGCACCTGCCTTCCGTTCATCAGCCCGGGCATCGCCAGCCGGGCCGGGATTGAGAATAGATGAATGGGCATTGCTTTGGTTTAGCATATTTTTTTGTCTCTTGGGTCTACACTTGCAGGGACAGGGCGTCAGATACAGGTACAAAAGTACCAAAACGATACTGGCCACACAGGCTGCAAGCGTGGTGAAAGCTGTGTTGAATGCCTCATGAGCATGGGACCTGTTCACGGTGAAATTGCTCACGTTAATTGTGACATCCACAGTTTCATTCAACAGGCGTTGCCTATTCATGGCAATACAGGAATACACGCCAGCGTCCTCAAAACGAGGACTTTCTATAACCAGAGTTCCATTGGGAAAGACGTGAAAGTTTTCCATCTCTTTATCTGGCTCCAGCAGTCTGTTATCTGGACCCACCCACATGAAGTCCGTATTGGCACTACTGGTCTTGCTGTCACAGTGGACAACCAGCCTTTCCCCGACTTGAGCCTCATGAATAAGGCCAAGTGCACGGAAGGAACCATTGATGATGCTGTCAGAGCAATTCAAAAAGCTATCCTGGAGCAGAAGCACTTGCTGGGAGTGCCTAGAGTCAGACCACAGGCGACAGGTATAATCGTTCTTAAAATCCATCACTGAGCTAAAGTGCCGTCTGTACCAAAAGATGAGCAATGAGTAAAGGGAACAGTCACAGACAAATGGGTTTCCATGAAGGTAGATGCCTCTCAGCTGTTTGCCTGACACTAAATTGATGTGATGCATTGGCAGGGATGGAATCCGGTTATAAGAAACATCTAGAAACATCAGTTCTGCCAGCTTGAACCTTCCAACATACAAATCCATGGGAAACTGCGTGAGAAAGTTTCCACTTAAGTAGAGTTTTTGCAATTGGGAGAGCCCTCCAAACGCAGAAGGATCGAGATAGGAAATGTGATTGTTGAAAAGCAGAAGCACTTCCAGAACCTTCAACTCTTGGAACACTGCGCTTTTCACGGTCTTCAGCTTATTGGATGATAAGTCAAGACACTTCAAATTTGGAGTTGTGGAAAAAGTGCCTGTGGAAATGCTCGTGATGTTGTTATGACGAATAATCAGGGTGTTCAGCTTTACGAACGATACCGGAATCCACTCGGCATCCAGAAGGCCGATTCTGTTATAACTCAGATCCAGTCTCTTAATCAGTCGGAAGAGGTTCCCAGGCACCTTGGACAGATTTTTGTTGGTGCAGCTCACAATGTCAGTGGCACAGATGCAAGCGGTGGGGCACACCCCGGAGGCGCCACGGCTCACAGTCACCGTGATCACCAGCCAACACAGCAGCTCCCTGCAGCCCGGTCTGACAACGCCAGGCAGAGTGGGCAGTGTGTGTAAACGTAAAGACATTATGGTCGCCTCTAAGTCTCTTCCAGGCGCCTTTTCCACCAGCTCAGCCTCCCACCAGTGAACCTGGTAAACAATCAATATTTAAAGAGGAGTGAAAAAGCAAAGTTAACTACCACCAGTTAACCCTTTTAAGTCATACCTTTCTTTCTTTCCAATAACTTTTGAAATGAAGGTTTTATTTCACCCTGGGGAGCCTATGTTGTCTTTTTACTGTTAAACGCAATTCTTCCTGAGTTCCTCCTGCGTACAGACATTTACAGTCACCTTCTATCAATAAAACCGTCTCAACAGCAGAAACTCTATATTTTTGTAAGGTGCATCCTGCGTCGTTTTTTTTAAACTCCCTCCAACAGACACAAAAATACACAAACGCATCCTATAAACAATCAAACGGAAATACTTCGCAAGCCACTCGTCCAGAGAGCAACTCACCGAGCCGGGAAGCCTGAAGGGCTCCGGGAAGAGGCCGCCGACAGTGGTGTCTTCTGAAGGTCTGTGCGTCTGTCTGTCTCCTCCTGTCACTCTCGCATCTTCCGAGTTCCTTTCCCTCCGGCTCCCGGCGGGCGGCAGCCTCTCGCTGCCTCTCAACTTTGGGGAGTTTCAAGAAGCGGCGGCGAGAGCAGCAGCCCCGGGCGCAGGAAACGTCTCCGCCGGCTCCAGCCGCCGCTCCCGGGCTCTCTTCATCGCCGGCTGCAGGGCCCGGCTCGGCGCTCTGGCCGGCGTGTGCCCGCGCACGGGGCGGCCTGCTCCCGTGCCGGCTCCGAGGGGCGGGGGCAGGCAGCCGGTCGCCCCGGCCCCGCCTCTCTGCGCTCCGGAGGCCACAGGACCCGGGGTTCCCGCGCCGCCAGCCGGGTTTTATCCCCGCGCGCCCGGGGTCGGCAGCGGGGCGGGGAGGCCGGTCCCGCCCCTGCGCGTCCTCCGTCCTGCGGGAACCCGCTCCCAGGCTGCGGGCGGGAGCGGGCCGGGCGCGTGGCGAGGGGCGCGCGGCGCGGCGAGGGGGCGGCCGCGCAGCCAATGGGAGCGGCGGCCGGCGCCCCCCTCATTCCCACCCCCACTCCGCCGCCGCCGCGCGCCTTCCTCCTCCAGCTCTTCCCCGGACCCGACTGATGGGCCGCGCAGGCTGGGCGGGGGTCCACCCCGACCCCCAGGCTGGCGGGCCCGGGGTGAGGACGCGCTCAGAACAGGGTCGTGGAGGGGTGGGGGGAGTTTAAAGGGGACACCCCCAGCCCCGGAGGGAGAAAGCGCACCCTTAAAGACCGGCTTCGGAGCGGCCACGCGGGTCGGGTCTCTCTCCCACCCAGGCCACTGAGCTCCCCTACCTCTTACGGCTTTGTTTGGGTGGGAGCCAAGGGTGCTTCCACGGCGCCAAGCGCACGTGGCTTTAAAGGTTTACATAATAAACAGAATCAGCCTTCCGCCTCCACCCACATTTAGGGGCAGGAGGTCTGGGGAAAGAGAGTCGCTCATGCTCCCTCCGGTGCAACAGGAATCTCTCCGAGGGAAGGAACCGGGAAGGCGCAGCGGGGACACTGCACCTCCCTAGGAAAGTTCTATCCCTTTGCTAACTCTGGTGGTGGCATGAGGGATGGTGCCGAACTCTCGAAGGAGAAGAGCAGGAGAGAAGGCTTAGAGTCGACCTTCCGGCTGCAAAGCAAAGATAAGGGTATTAAGTTAAAAAAAAAAAAATCCCAGAGCCAGGCTTTTTTTTTTTTTGGCAAATGCGCTCGCCCTGGGACAGGGACTGATCCCAGACGGGGTGTCCGCGCGGGGATTCCTCCGGAGGTTCTTCATCCCTTGCTAGAGGCAGGCCCGGCGCCCAACTCAACCGTGCTTTGGTCCAGCAGGCTGAGAGGTGCAGGCCCGGGTGGACAAGGCCAGGCAAAAATGAAGTGGAGGGTGTGGGGCTGATGAGCTTTTCGATTAAAAATCCATTTTTGTTTAATTCCGAGATCAGTTTTAACGATGGGATTTGACTGAGCCAAATGACCCATTTGTCCATTATATCCGGATTAAAAGAAATAAATTACTGCCCTGGCAAGAGATACTAACCAAAGCAGAAGGCATAGGACGACTGAAAACGGGGCAAATTGAGAGAACAGTTGGGGGCAGGGCGCGACTTGTAATATTATTTAAAAGACAAAAACAATGACGGAGACATCCAACTCCCTGCCCCTCATCCGGACACTTGAGCATCCTTGGATTTAGTGGGAGCTGGTCCCTGCCTTATCCATGAATGGATTCATGCGGTAGCAGAGATCTCTTAGGTCAGTGACCAATTTAAATAGAATTGCCTGCCTTGTTAGTTTAGTTAGCCTGTTTGGGTAATAAATCTGGATTAGCGCTGGTAAATCAAGATTTTGCAGGTGAGAGCAGCTTCATTCAGATTAGTTTCAGTTTCATGAAAAACTGAATGTTATCATAAGAAGAATACAGCCTGAAATGCTTCATGAAAGCCTTCCTCGCTGTGTGCTCCCGGGGGATAGGCAGAGGTTAAGATTTTCTAAAGTGAGGCCACGCTTCCTGAAGTTCTCAAAAAAATGTGGTCTCTAGGCCTTCATTTTCACAGTTAGAATGATTAACACAGAGAAATGGAACTAAAATCACTCAGAGGAATACTCTTTAAATGACTAATAAATGACCAGGTTTTTGCAGTATTTTACAGAGTAACTACCATCCTATTCAAAGGAAACCATGAAGGTGGGAGACAGACCTGTGTTTATTACAAAGGTAGTCTAAAAAGGAAAATGACTTTCAAAAATGGAAACGGAAGGTTATGATATGATAGCTACAGGCATATCACAGAAACATTATGCAAAGATTACACAGCATAAATAAACTAAATGCACTCAAAATCCACAGACTTGTTTATTTATCTATTTGAAGATCTGATTTTTGGGATTCTGCACATTTGTCAAGGGGAAAGGAGTAGTGAAAGGAGTGGGTTTACTTGGCTTGGAGAACCGAAAGCTAAGAGTTGACCTTAATAATGGTATAACATATAACCTTATTTTGTGGAGGATAACTTTTTATCTTTCTTTTTTTTTTTTTTTTTTTTTTTTAAAGATTTTTTTTTTTATTTTTTTTTTCCTTTTTCTCCCCAAAGCCCCCCGGTACATAGTTGTGTATTCTTCGTTGTGGGTTCTTCTAGTTGTGGCATGTGGGACGCTGCCTCAGCGTGGTCTGATGAGCAGTGCCATGTCCGCGCCCAGGATTCGAACTAACGAAACACTGGGCCGCCTGCAGCGGAGCGCGCGAACTTAACCACTCGGCCACGGGGCCAGCCCCTAACTTTTTATCTTTCTAGCATCCTTTCACCTTCTACCAGATCCACTCTTCCCCACTAGAAGGTAAATTCCACAAGGCAGAAATTTTATGTCTTGCGCAATGCTCTATTCTTAGTTTCTAGAATCCTGCTTGACATTTGCTTGGCATTTAATAAATTTTTGACAAATGAACTGATGAATGGGGAACCTATTCTAGGCTTACCCCCCTGAATCTGCTGGTTGCCATCCTGCTCTCTGTGTACTTCAAAAAGCTTGTCTGAAAGAAGAGAAGAAAGAGAAAGAGGAGCCCTGGGAACATTATTTGAGTCCTGGATCCGGTAGTGCCTGAAGGCCACTGCACACTTTTGCTTCCTTTTTAGTTATAGTCTCCACCCCATCTTTTTTCTTTTTGCTTAAATTATTTTGAGTTGTGTTTATGCCACTTGTGACTGAAAGAGTCCTAGTACATATAATAATGGTAATAATAAATGTATATTGGGCTATGGTTATGTGCCAGAAACTGAGCTCTGTGTCTCACATGCATTATTTCATTTACTGCTCATCATAACCCTGCAACATTATATAATCCTATAACCCAGATGGTAAACAACTGTGTTCCAAATTATTTGAAAATGAAATGAGACGAAATTAGCTTGAGGCTCCATTTGAAGGATTTAGATTAAACAGAAGAGAGACGTTTCTGACAGGGCGGTTCCAGCCTGGAATGGGTTGCCAAGACAGATGGTTGAGTTGCCTTCTCACGCATTTAAAATAGGACAGATAGATATTCCTCTGGTCTTTTCAACATGGCACAATCTATTGGTATTTTTGACCATTCAGTGATGACTCCAACAGATAACAGAACATGGATCGACGTTTGATACGGTTCTGAATCCAGCATGCTGAGGCAGGTGTGGTCACGTGAGTGTCTGGCTGGGTTTGAAAGTAACTCCTGCCTGGGGGCAGGGATTTGAGTAGAAATCTCAGGGCTTCTTCTGGCCCTGTGTTTTCCAGAATTTCTCAGGTTGTAATCAAAGACTTAAGGAATTAGAGATATGAGATGAGAAATTGTTAGAGCACTAATTTGATGATTGGGAGTCATTTTACTAATAATGAACACTTTAGGAGCACTTTATATTCCATGAGGGCCTTTCACATTCTGGGTCTCATTTGATTCCAGCGCACATTGTGTAATCAGGTGTAGCTGACGCATCAACACATATGTAACATTGCCTTTTGTTTTTTGACAGGGGAAGATTTGCCCTAAGCTAACATGTGTTGCCAATCTTCCTCCTTTCCTTTTCCTTTCCCCTCCCAAAGCCCCAGTACATAGTTGTATATATTTGTAAGTTCTTCTGGTTCTTCTGTGTGAGATGCCACCACAGCATGGATACTGACAGATGAGTGGTGTGATTTTGCACCCGGGAACCCAACTCAGGCTGCCAAAGTGGAGCACGCCAAGCTTTACCCGCTAGGCCATCAGGGCTGGTGTGTTGCCTCTTTTTTTTTAACCTAGGGGCACATGAAGTGTTCTTCAGAGACAGCTCACTAGGGTCTCCAGCTCTGCAGGCGTCTGCACACAGGAGCTTTCTATTGAGGTCTCCTCACTCTCGGGTCAGCACTCTTGGTTGGATTTTTACTGTGTGACTGGAGCCTTGATCCACAGCAAGCACACAGGTTTGCCCACCAGCTCTGAAGTTGTGCTCCACCACTGCAACAGCTTGTTCTTCTTTTGGCCTTTGTAAATTGCCCAGGACTTGGAGTAGAACCAGATTTCTGACCCATACCACGTCTCTCGCTGTATGGAGACTGGGGTTCCACACTCTGTGCTCTCTGAGCTCCAGGAGGCATCAGTCAACTTGTGGCTTGCTTCTCTGGAAGCTCCCTTGACTACAAAGCAGGGGGTAAGGGGGTGAGGCATGCAAGTAAATACCCATGTGTCCTCCCCCCGGAGAGCCCACAATGGGGCCGCTCTCCAGGCAATCTCCACCCTCCCATCTGCTCTATCTCCTGTCTTCGTAGACATAGGCTAGGTAGGTTCTTTGTTTTGTTATTTTTTTTTTTCAGTTTAGATGAGATAAAATTCACATAAACAAAATTCACCTTTTTGACCATTTTAAAGTGTACTATTCAGTGATTTTAGTATACTCACAATGCTGTGCAACCATCACCACTCTTTAATTCCAGAATAATTTCATCACCCCAAAAAGAAGCCCTATGCCGTTAAGCAGTCACTCCCGCTCCACCCCCCCCAGCCCCTGGCAACCACTCATCTACTTTCTATCACCATGGATTTGCCTAGTCTGGGCATTTCATAAGAATGGAATCATATAATAT